CATTCGATTTTGAGAATCGAATCTAGAGAATGGAGTTCCAAATGTAACAAATTCTGTGAATAAAAACTATGACTCACGGTCGAAACTGTAGAGCCAGTGTCCAGCAAAGCAGAGACAGTCATGCCTGCTATGCTAGCTTTTATTTCGGTAGGGGTACCCACTAAATCAGCTGGTTGTCTGGTCTGCTGTACACTGATTGTGGCTCCTAGGCCAGGCGATTCCCCTGCATTCCTGACCCACGTCCGTTTAAAGGCTTTCCCTGGTGGTCGGTGAGAGCTCTACAACCCCTGCTGATATGTCCTTCCCTGCCACAACGGTAACATGTGGGCTCTGTCTTGGCTTCTGGGTGGGACCTCTCATGGTCTGTCTTCCCATCTGGCCTTCCCTTAAACTTCTGAGGTCTGGGCTTCCCGTCATGCCGATGCTGCCTCATCGAATTGAAGCCAGTAGTCAGCTGATTGATCATTCCTTTGAGTTCATCCATTTCCTTCCTGGAAACCGATTCCACTGCCTCAACTGCAGACCTTGCAGGCTTAGGTACTGGCTGCTTCTCCTTCTCTTCCAATCTCCCAGCATGGTCCTGCTCCACACGACGTATGGCAACCCTCAAGCTATCGAAGTCTCCAGGCTGGCTGTAAAGGTGGCCGGTGGCATCCTTCAATCTTCCTGCCAGGCCTGACCAAAACACTGTCCTTAACATAGGATCCTGCTTTGTCAGGGGGATATTGTTGGCATCAGCAGCCTTGGTGAAAAGGTCCTCAACTCGACAACTCCATGCTGACACCGTTTCAGCACGCTCCTGCTTTGCGCTGAAGAACTTCGCCATCAACATCTCGGCTTGTTCCACAATGCCAAAGACACTGTCCATCTTCATAAGGATATCTTGAAGACTGGCATCAGGAGGTAGTCTAGACCTAACCTTCAATGCTTCACCCTTAAGGCTACTTCTGATGGCCTGAGATATGGTCTGTGTGGGATGTCCTTCCTTCATTATGCACGCCACCTGGTTACGCCATACGTCATATGTGGTTTCCTTCTTCTCATCTCCTGAAAATGGGGAAATTTTAGGGAAATGCTGCATTGCCGAGGGAATATACTTAGCCCTATAGATCTCTTCCTGGACTGCTTCCTTGGACTCCGAATCCTTCTCAGCTTGTCCAGCAATCCACCCCTTAAAATCCTCTAAAGAATCCACCTTAGGTTTGACCTTCATGGATTTAAAATGACTTACCAGTTTCTGAACTTCCTCTACTGTCATATCTGTTCCTTCTGCTTCAGCCATGTTGAAGTGTGAAAGTGTAAGCAACAATAAACACAAAAAAAGGAAAGAAACAAATCTAAGTTAGGTAAATATGAACACAAGGACAAAAGGGGATTTCTTCATTAAATGCTGAAAAGAAAAAGAAATAGTACGATATTTGAAGAAACAACACTTCCCACAACAACAGGTATGTTCGATTAGATGCAGTAATGACTAATTATGCTTCCATGCCGTCACCTGAAAAATTTTCATCCTGGAAAATTTACACCATATATGCACACAGTGAAAAAAAAACAACAGCGGAAACCAACGTTAGCTAAGTATGAACAAACAAATATGACATGGAAATAAATAAACAAATAAATAAATTAGAATAATTAAAGTACTAGAACACGGTTCGCGACAAACAATAAATAAATCAGTTTCGGACTCGAACACGGGTCGTGCGCGTACGGCAAAGTATTATGCACGGTCGTGCGCGGAGGGTGGGGGGGGTAAACAGAACCTACGAACTTTGGAACAAAATAAATAAACACACAAATAAATCCAAGCAAAAATCACATAAGAAAACTAACTAAGAACTCACCTTGTTACACCAAGAAAATAAATATCCAACATCCAAACACCAAACCGAACTAACACAAAGCACAACAAAAGGCTAAGTCCAAGTCGTCGTCGGTTAATGCACTCGTACGTACAAACACACTAAGTGACACAACATGTTGTACGGTAAAGTATTACGAAGGAGAAAAAAAAAACCCAAATAATTCACAAAAATAAATCACAAATAATACACATAATCCAGAATAGAAACACAGAAATAATAATACACAAAGAAAAATAAAGTCAGTCAATGAAATCCAATAGGTAATTTACCGAATGTCAGTTCACGATTGGCTCCAGAAAGTCTAAATCCATGCTGCAGCGACGAGTGTCAAATTTCCAAACAAGAACATGTGTTCTCGTGTTTTCGCCGGAAACAGGAAGTAATTTATATTGGTAGACATGCGCAGTCAAACACTATGACGGAAGAATACCGGAAATGTACGAAGGATGACGGACGTAGATCGGGAACCGGAAACATCCGGGCACTGACGAACGAAGATCGGCAGAATCCGCTAGTAGACGCCTTGGTCAGATCGTCGATTTGACAGCTCACTGGGGGCTCCAATGTGGTAGAGTATAACGTTTGCAGAATAAAGACAAACTCCTCTGGTTTTTAGTTCATACTGTCATTTATTGCCGACTAAGGATCAAGGATCAAGAGACCCAGGATCTAGCCCTGTGTGTGGCACAAAGCCTTCATTCTGACCAAATACATCGCAGATAAAGTCTAGAGCGGTTCTGTTCTAATAATTCAAAAATATGTCCGTCCTGCCAGGAGTCCACAAAGGGTACTGCCCAAGCACACTTAAAATACAAAGAAACACGCGCCAAATTGACCATTAGAACTGACCAATAGAAATTCGCCAATATGCGTAAACAACTCACTTATGGAAATTGGACAGACCACACCATGGGACACGAACGTAACAAAACTCCAACCAAGCAACACAATACACCTGTACACATATAATCACAACATGGGACACGGTACACGGACGCGACTTTTACACGAGCACAATACAAATACGGTATAAATACGGACAGTCGGCGATCTGTAATACAATAAAGTAAAACGTACAAATTTCAGCTCTGCTACATACATATATAAACCTTTAACGGGTATGGCACTCACCGAAAGCTTCGGTTTCCGTTGGTGTTATTCCCGTATTTACGTTTATTAATCGGCCACGGTTACAACGTACCTGCTAGTGTCCCATATTCGAATGTCCTCCCCTCGTTTCCAAATAAATATCCGGTACACGACTTTCTACCGTGCGCGCGTAATTCAAAGTTCTTATGCATGTGATATGTGACACAGGGCACCTAGATGCTTCTGGTAGCCTGCAGATAGAGCACGTTGACCCAACGAGGTCAGCAGGCCAAGGTTCAAGCGTGCCTCTCAAAGCTGAGCCTAGTTCTAACACATCACAGCTATCGGGGACAAATAGTAATGTGAAAAGGGTTCTTATGAAACCTGTTGTTTACGATGGTAAAGAGGACTGGGAGGAGTATCTCTCTCAATTTGAGATAGTGGCAGACATTAATAGATGGGATGCAAAGGAAAGGGGCTTATATTTGGCAGGGAGCTTGGCTGGGGCTGCAAGGGCAGTGCTCAGTGATTTAGATACAGAGAGTCGTCGCGATTTCACTCGGTTGACTTCTTCACTTTAGCGACGTTTCGGCAGTGAATGCAAGTCAGAAATGTTCCGTGCAAAGTTGCAGACAAGGGTGAAGGGAAAGGAAGAGTCAATATCCGATCTGTCAAGGGCTATTCAAAAACTCACTCGCCAGGCCTATCCTAAGGCACAGCAGCAAGTCTTGGAGACTCTTTCGGTGGATTACTTCATCGATGCCATTGTTGATCCAGATATCCGCCTTCGCCTCGGAGAAGCTCAGTTGGAGACTCTGACGCAGACTGAAACCCTTGCTATGAGGCTCGAGTCCCACAAGTTGGCTAATAAGTTCAGGAATCAGCCAGTGCGAGCTGTTGAAGGGATGGGTGATGTTGCCAAAGCCCTTGATGACAAATCTTCTTGTGCTTCGAATGCTCCTCCAAATGAAAAGTTAGTCCAGTACCTTAGAAGTGAGATTGAGTCCCTGAAAAAGAAAGTAGAATCCAAGGATGGGAACCGTAGTGGGCAAGGTCAATCCGGTCGAAGTTCGCATCGGGGCAATCTTAATCCGAAGTGGTCAAATCAGAATGGCTAATGTGGAGGGCTTACCTGTAAGTTTTTTGGTCGATACTGGGGCTGCTATCACATTGCTCCGGACAGAGCTACTGAAGGTGTTACCTAAATCGTTGGCAAAGGAAGTTAAAAGGGTGAATAAGTCGTTATTGACGGCTACTGGTGAGGTTGCACCGCTGCATGGTCAATTGAATGTAACCATGAAACTGGGCGAGAAAAACGTCAATCGTACAGTTTGGTTTGCCGATATTCAAAATAATGGTATCCTCGGTGCTGATTACCTCACCGGCAATAAGTGCAGTATCCTCTTAGACTCCTTAGCTCTTGAGATAGGAGGGCATAAAGTTCCTTTGCATATGTGTCTCTCAGAGAAGAGTTCCGCATGTTGTCGCGTAACTATATGTGAGACAGTAACAATTCCTGCCAGAAGTGAAGTTCTTGTCAGTGGTAAACCTGTAGACCATTATAAATCAGGCCAAACTTGTGTTTTAGAACCAACAGTACGTTTCATAGAACGTAGCCACGTTTATATAGCTAAGACCGTTGTAAAGCCGGATGGTTCAGCTATACCTCTTAGGTGTGTGAATGTCACCGAACGACCACTTACGGTATATAAAGTCGCAGCTTTCTGTAAGCCAGTATGTGCTATATCTGAGCTTGATTGTGAGGATCTGAGCGAACCTGTATCTGAGGTTGCTGATTATGTTCCTGAGCATCTGTTTGATCTCTTTGATCGCTCCAAGGAAAACCTTTCGGAATTCCAGAAATAGCAGGTTGCAGATCTCCTGATAAAGTACGGCGACATATTCTCTAAGGGCCAGTCTGACATGGGCAACACGAATGTGGTTACACATGATATTGACACCAGAGATGCAAAACTCATTCGCCAACCCCCACGTAGAATTCCATTGGCAAAGCAAAAAGAAGCAGAGAAAGAAGTTGAAGAAATGTTGAAAATGGGAGTCATTGAGAAAGCAAGTGGTCCGTGGGCGTCACCCATAGTATTAGTAAAAAAGAAAGATGGTTCAACGCGCTTTTGCATCGACTATCGCAAACTAAATGACATCACTGTAAAGGACAGTCATCCACTACCTAGGATAGACGATACACTAGACACGCTTTCGGGGGCTTCTTGGTTTTCCACCTTGGATCTGAAAACTGAATACTGGCAGGTGGACGTTGCAGAGAAAGATCGACAGAAAACCGCCTTTGTAACTGGGTATGGTGGATTTTGGCAGTTCAAGGTCATGCCCTTCGGTCTCTGCAACACCCCTGCCACATCCGAGCGATTGATGGAGGAAGTCTTGACTGGTTTAACTTGGAAGCTTTGTCTAGTGTATTTGGATGATGTGGTAGTCTTTGCTAACACGTTTGAACAAGAGCTAGACTATCTTTTGCAAGTCTTAGACCGTGTACGCTCCGCAGGCCTGAAGTTAAGTCCCAAAAAGTGTCATCAATTTCGGCGGAAAGTTCATTTCTTGGGTCATTTGATCTCTGGTGAGGGTATTGAGACTGATCCTGAAAAAGTTTCCGCATTTCGGGATTGGCCTACTCCCAGATGTCTCAAGGAAGTGAGGAGTTTTCTGGGCATGAGCTCTTACTATAGACGCTTTATTAAGAGTTTCTCAACCATCGCCCGCCCACTTCATCAGTTAATGGAATCTGGCCATGTCTTTGAGTGGACTGATGCCTGTGAATCCGCTTTCCAAGAGCTTAAATCCAAAATGGTTACCGCTCCAATCTTGGCACATCCATATAGGGACACTAGCTTTATACTGGATACCGACGCCAGTGATACTGGTGTTGGGGCAGTCTTGTCCCAGGTCCAAGATAACCATGAACGAGTCATCGCTTATTTTAGCAAATCCCTAAGCAAGCCTGAAAGGTCCTACTGTGTAACCATACGGGAATTGTTAGCTCTCGTAAAATCTATAAAGCAATTCCATTGTTATCTTTATGGTCGTCACTTCAAAGTGCGAACAGATCACGGGTCACTTTGTTGGCTTAAGAACTTCAGGAGCCCGGAAGGCCAGCTTGCTCGTTGTCTCGAGCTTTTGTCCCAATATGACTTCTCAATCGAGTATCGGAGGGGGAGGAGTCATATATGCTGATGCTCTCTCCAGGAGGCCTTGTGCTGGGACGCCGTGCTCATATTGCGACAAAGCTGATGCCAGATACGCAGTACATGATGGCGCTTGTAACATTGCAGCGTTGAGGCAGGCGGGTTCTTCTGACAGCTCGAATCTAGATGTCTCGGCTCAGGCTGACAGCTTTGAAGACCAAGGTAATGGAGCGATTTCTCTGGACAGGTTGAAAAATTTACAGTTGAAGGATAAGGTCTTGAGTGTGGTTGTAGGCTGGAAAGAGAGTGGTCAAAGACCCTTGTGGGAAGATATTTCCAGTTGCTCTCCAGCCGTGAAACATTTTTGGTCCCGCTGGGATGGTGTTCTCTATAGACGGTTTGAGAATGTTGGTGGTCTTTCATATGAGTGGCAGATAGTGCTACCAGAGGTTTTGCGTAAAAGTGTTCTTAGAGAGCTCCATAATTCAGAAACTGCGGGTTACCTTGGTATTGCCAAGACGTTTGGCAAGGTTAGAGCCAGGTATTACTGGTGCGGGTTAAGGAGAGATGTCGAGCATTGGTGCAGGGCTTGCGATGTTTGCGCCCGCAGGAAACGTCCTCCTAAATCTCCCAAGGCTCCCCTGCAGCAGTATGTAGTTGGTGCTCCACTCGAACGAATCGCTGTTGATGTAATGGGTCCCTTACCTGTCACACATCTTGGCAATCGTTACTTGCTGGTGGTAGGAGACTATTTCACTAAGTGGTGCGACGCCTACCCCATTCCTGACCAAGAAGCTGATAAGGTGGCAGAGGTTCTAGTAAATGGGTTCGTACCACAGTTCGGTGTACCCAGGCAACTCCATTCGGATCAGGGTAGGAATTTTGAAGGTTTTGTGTTAAAAGAAATGTGTAACATCTTGGTAATCGATAAGACTAGAACGACTCCTTTGCATCCCCAAAGCGATGGCATGGATGAAAGGTTAAACCAAACATTAGAAAGCATGCTCTCCATGTTTGTAGATGATAACCAGCGTGACTGGGATGTGCACGTGCCTTTGCTAATGATGGCATATAGGTCATCGATCCATGACTCCACAGGAGTATCTCCATGTACCATGATGTTCGGAAGAGAGATAACGCTGCCAGTTGATCTGATGTTTGGTGGTCCTGAATCTGACAGTCCTGTTCTCAAGAGCTCATACGCGCATGACCTAGCGAGCAGATTAGAACACATTCATGATTTTGCTCGTGACAAGCTGGCATTTGCTCACGGCGCAATGAAGAAAAATTATGACCACAATGCCAAGTCTGCCCGGTATGAAGTAGGGGAAGCCGTCTGGCTTCGCAATCTTGTTAGAAAGAAAGGATTGTCCCCGAAACTTCAGCTGCCTTGGACTGGACTTTTCATTGTGACCAAAAGGCTGACTGATGTTACATATCAAATCCAGCAGACTCATCGTTCGAAGCCACGAATCGTGCATTTCAATCGTCTGAAGCCCTATAATGGTGACGAGAAACCTACCTGGTTCGACGATTCAATGGCTAGAAGAAACGATAGCGTTGTCGTTTCTCTTCCTGAGACTTCTGCAGTGGAAGAATATTCTCTCTCTTTGTCTTCTGTTCATGAAGCAAATGCTTCAGGAACTGATACTGAATCTGAGCCTGAGGATTCCAACCCTAAAAGTCTCGACTGTGATGCCTCTGACGCATCCAGTACTGCTCCCTCCTCTGTCTCTGGCAGCCATAACATTGTCAGTAGGCGAGGAAGGCGCATCGTTAAGCCTGGTTGGCATCGAGACTTTGATATGCAGAGTTGATGATGTTCCCACGTGACCTTGTGGATGATGGCTTCACTACCATGTGCTGTGTACGTAAGAGTGTGTAAGTCTTTTCGCCATAAGTTGTCTTTGTAAATCGTTGTCCTTTGTTCGTTAGACTGAGCTCACATGTAGCGCCGGGTGGACGTGTTTGTGACACGTAGCGGTCGCTCAGCTATTCTTATACTTTCTGCCCCCTTGTCTGTTCAACCATTATTTGTTACCATTTTATCCTGAATACACGTTTAAAGAGAACAAATCAGTTTTGTTTGCGTTATATCTAATTCTCATGGTAAAATTATACAAGGCCCACTGACCGGCCCTAAACTTAACATGATGACAAACGGCAATTGTCACACTATTATTCTCTGGTGTTGCGGATCTCTTTCACATACGTTCTATATACGTTACATATCCCGTGATACCTAACGATAGCATGTAAAAACAATTGAATAAAATCAGTTAAACGGAGGTGAAGATCGAAATTCATCACCACAATTTATAAACTACAATGCCCGACATTAGTTCACTGTCTGATTTCATTGGTATTCTGAAATGAGTGCATTTGAAATGAATAGATTTGAAACACCGCGATTACGATTTGTCCTGTTGTATATATACAGAATACAAGAGCGCGTTAAAGACGTCTTCAAAAAGAAGCCAACTGTGATTATTTTTGGTTGGTTTTCTTTTTTTACTTTGGCTGACTCTAATATCGACATCGATATTTTGAAGTGCTCCGTGCGGTTTACTGTCTCGGGTCCCAGAAGAAACACCGTCACCCATTTCGAGATAGTGAAGGTCTTGATTGATGCTGGCGTACCACCTGATGAACTGAAATCCGTTTTCAGATGTGAAGCCCCGAACTCCTGGTTCGCAACCTTTTCAACTACGTACCAGGTGGACAGATTGGTGGAATCAGGCGCCATTGATAAACCGGAGTTCTCCTTACTGCCGGAGCCCTGTGACAGGCGACGCCTCACCATCCGGGTCATGTGGCTGCCCTCCTGGATGTCGGACGAAGCGATATCCAGGACCTTTGACGAGGTGTACGGGAGGGTTGTGTGCGTGGAGAGGGAGACCACGACCATTGGACAGGTCTCTCTTGAAACCGGGACCCGGGTTCTCTCCCTGGTGATACGGGAGGGCGACCAGGACCTCATCCCTCACAGGATGCTGGTGTTCATTGGTATCGCGCTTGTTATAGCTCGCGGCTACGTGTACGCGCGCGTGCTACCTTTTACCTGTGTTTTGTCACATTTAATGCCGTTTATACACTCACCTTTCCCGATGTATACTTATCTGTCCTGTTTTTATCGATATGGTTGTTTTTCTCGTTCAGTACCTTGTCGGATTCCCTAAAATACACAATAAAATGGAGAGTACTAATAGTAATACGGTGAACATAATTACTTGGAATTGTAATGGGTTTTTATCTAAAACAAAACAGTATGAATTGAGTGATTTTGTCCATAACTATAAAATAGTTGTTGTCTTACTTCAAGAGACTCATGTCTCTAACTTGTCAGTTGTTAAGAATATTGAAAGATTTTTAAGATGTAAAGCTTTTTGGAATTTTGGGACTTCTCAAAGTAGGGGTACTGCAGTCTTGTTTTTTATTGATGTAGAATTACAGAAATTTGATTTTGATAAAGATGGTAGAGTCGTGTTGGTGGATTTTAGATATTTTGATAGTGAATATAGAATTATTAATGTGTATGCCACGAATATTGAAGAAGAACGGAAATCATTTTTTGATGGCATTATTCATCCGTTTTCCTGTAGAAGGCCGGTTATTTTTGCGGGCGACTTTAATTGTATTGAAAATAGTTCTCTTGACAAAATGCTTGATTAATAAGTCCGTTTTGTATGAAATACAATTATTTATTGGTGACTCAATTTGTAAGTGTCTTAGATATCACAGAGAAATATTGAACTTGCTACCATATTTATATTATATTAGATAAAATACTGATATCACTTTTTAACATGACACAACGCCTATTTCTTTTTTTAAGATGGTGGGCTATTCAAATCGCCCTGCGTCCGTGGTCCGTCCGTCCGTAAACAATTCTTGTTACCGCTATTTATGGAAAAGTACTAGATGGATCTTTCTCAAATTTCATATGCAGGTTCCCCTTGGTCCCTAGTTGTGCGTTGTGCATTGTACCTTTTTTGGACAGATTCGAATTCAAGATGGAAAACAGGCAGCCATCTTGGAGTTTGATAGTAAAAGTTTGTTATCGCTATTTCTTGGAAAATACAGGATGGATCTTTCTAAAATTTCATATGCAGTTTTCCCTTGGTCCCTAGTTGTGCATTGTACCTTTTTTGGACTGATCCGAATTCAAGATGGTCGCTTGTCGGCCTTCTTTTATTTTAAAAAGAAAAATTTGGTACCGCTATTTCTGAGAAAGTACTGGATGGATCTTTATCAGATTTCATAGGGAGCTTCTCCTTGGTCCCTAGTTGTGCAGTGTACCTTTTTTGGACTGATTTGAAATCAAGGTGGCCCACAGGCAGCCTTCTTGGATGTCGACAGTAATACAGCACAACATTTTTCTTCGATATTCTATCATATTGATTCAAGACCATGTCCATTATCCACCTGTAGCTATATCTAATAATACTTTGGGATCTTTTTCAAATATTTGCTAATAGGTGCTTAATAAAAATATCTTGTGCCATCATTGAGTACATTCAACGAAGACCAGTTCATGAACATTTACAACACCTGCAAAAAAAAATAAAAAATAAACAAAACTGAAAACAGATCCTCAAATGGTGGGCGCCAAGATCTCTCGTTTCAAATTTACAATCATTTTTGTTTTTGTTTGTTGGTGTTTTTTCAAAATAAATATAGAAAAGATTTTTTTTAATTATTACCTCAAAGATAAAATATATGCATTTCCGAATGGAGATGAAAACTTTCAAATCTACATTTTTGTAAAGGTAAAAGTCGTATATGAAATCAGTACTGAGATGATAAGAATCTTAGTAGTGGATAAGGTGTTGAAACTACATATCAGTTCTAATTTCATCGTTTTTCATTATTTGGCTCTGCTAAATCTAATTCTGAATTTGTGTCTTTATACAATATTCGAGATTGCAGGTGGTACACATTCCTCGGGGACTTTTGTGTCCCAAAACCTGCAAGTTTTTTTCTTCAATTCAATCAAATAATTGCATGGTTTACAACATACACATGTACTTGAAGTCAAATCGCTAATATAGAAATTACGAATTTGATCAAATTATTAGGTAAGAAAACCTCCCTGTCTAGATTTTGACTTTTCTTTCGATTACTTGACTTCCAAAGGAGGAGTGCCAGTTTGGGCCTTCTGGTGGCCATGACGAATACTTTTATTAAGTGCCCTAATTACTAATTAAGTCACACTTGAGCACCGTTTTTTGTCTTAATGCATCTATAAACAATACGTTTATCACGTGCAGTGTATTTATTTGAAATATTTTTGCATGAATTAGAGCAATGAAGAAGTTGCAGTCAGATTTCAAACTCTTTAATCATCATCAATTCATCATTATACACATCATCATCATCAATTCATCATTATACACATCATCATCATCATCATCAATTCATCATTATACACATCATCATCAATCATCATCATTATCATCATCATCATCATCATCATCATCATCAATTCATCATTATACACATCATTATACACATCATCATCATCATCATCAATTCATCATCATCAATTCATCATTATACTCATCATCATCAATTCATTACTATACACATCATCAATTCATCATTATACTCATCATCATCAATTCACCATTATACACATCATCATCAATTCATTATACACATCATCATCAATTCATCATTATACACATCATCAATTCACCATTATACACATCATCATCAATTCATCATTATACACATCATCATCAATTCATCACTATACACATCATCATCATCATCAATTCATCATTATACACATCATCATCATCATCAATTCATCATTATACACATCATCATCATCAATTCACCATTATACACATCATCATCATCAATTCATCATTATACACATCATCATTGTCATAATCAACAATCAATTCTCAATTCATCCTCAGTCACAACCATATTCACAAACATTCTCTCACATATTAAATGGCAATGGATTTCTAAAAGTTTTTCATATTTATCATATTGTGAGTGTTCATTATATAGATACATGTACATCATATATAATTCACTTTCACACGAGACCTTTCAATTTTCATACATTCACTCACTGATTTTTTCTATAGGAAAAGCAAAGCGGCCAAAAGACAGACAAGTAGACAGAAGAACCTGATAGACATTTCATTTTTGTTATTTTCAAAGTTTTAATTCTGAACGAGACACTTCCATCAAAATGAAAGATGTAAATGATATTATATAACAAAAAAAAGTTGTATAGAGAAAGTGTGTGTTTGTGTGTGTTTGTGTGTGAGAGAGAGAGAGAGGGGTATCAATAATTCATTATGAATATCTTTATTATAATGTTTAAGACTTTAAGACCAGTTAAGGATAGTGGCTTTTGAAAGCATCTTGTTTTGTAAATACAATATTTAATTATAAGGATAATATGATTATCTACATTGAATCGGATTCAATTTTCCTCATGTTTACCAAATATAAATGTCTCTTTATTAAAAGAAAACGGGATAAATTATGAATCTAACAAGGTTTCAAAGTTTGTTAACAGGTTTTGTACCTGAATGCATTCCCATAAAGCATGTTCAATCGTTTCTATTTCTGACTTACAAAAATAACAATATGTATTATCTACTAATCCAGCTCTATGGAGATTTAAGTTAGTCGTTAAGATGTGCTGATTAATTCTGTATTGGAACCACTGTAATTTTGTATTTTTTGTTACTTGAAAAGGAATTTAATAAATATTTCTCCAGATATCAGTAAAGTCAAAGTATTCCCACCTCTTTCTACCCGTTGACAGTATCATTTTTACTAAGTAAAC